TTATCACGGAAATCGATGCGACTTATCATCTTATCGATGGTGTTGCAATTACGAGGATTGGCAGATATAATACGCTTTATTAGACTTATTTATATTGCAAATGCGACCAAAGTTTGTTAAGTATGGTCGACTGATTTCTAAAGTATTTGCAATAAAATTGTCAATATCGTGAATGATTTATCAGTTATGTATCATTTCACTACAAAAGAATAAATATGCATCGCTTCAAGCGCGTGTCCACTGATGTGTTGTTCCTTATACAAAGTGTTTGTACAATATTACCACGCTTTCTTTTCATTTTTGTGTAGATCGTTTGTAGAATTTAAAAACGATATTCTCCACTAAAAGCTTTATAAACAGTATACTTTTTAATTATCTTGTTTCAACATTAAATAACAAAAATTTGGCGTTTAAAAATCAGAAATTAAAATAATCTTGGAACAGTCTTATTTTACTAGAAAAAATATTTCACATAATTCTAAAATGTATTTCCTTATATGTTTCATAGTTTTTTAATTGTTATTGATGCCTCGAGAAGGCATTTCGTTAAAAGGGAGCTTAATACCAATTGTCCCAAAAATTTCTACATGAAAAAATGGGAAAATGGCTATTTCGTATATAGATATCCTTGTACTCGTACAGTTTTTTCAAATCTCGTAAGCTGACATTTAAAAATTAAATTTGACTCGAGATGAATGACGAAAGATCCTTCGGTAAATCATGTTAGAGTAAGTTCCTGCAGAGTGCAGCACGGATCACATATAGACTCTGCCGGCATCTGGTATCGCTTCAAGGGAATTGGTTTCGCCAAAAGCCCGTCATTGATACCATGTTCACAACGATAACGCAGAAATCGTCAATGCCTGGGCCTGATAGCTTCCCTGCAACTCCTTTTTTATCCTACTTTCGATAATAATATTATCTAATTTAAAAATACCTGATAATATTAAAATAAAAACTATACATTCTGAAACTATGAGAAATAACTATATAATAAATCCACGCAACGAAAGGTCGTGACAATTGTCTTTTTCAGCACACATAAAGGTATATGAGAAGGAAATTATCTATAAATTGCCAGAGAAACGATATACATATATGCGTTCTCCAAGCATTCACCTGCGCGTGCAAGGGCACCGGACATACGGATCGCACACATAAGCGTTGCAGACCATCGATGTGCTGTGTACTGCGCGTTTGTCACACGCGACACACACGCGCGTTCCCGTGCAAATGATGATTACTGCCGGTATATCAATGTTATGTGCTCAATAGCGACGGAAACTAGTTCCAGTAAAAATTTTACCATATCTGCGCTACTTATAGTTGCTTATACTTTTATAATATAATTTATTTAGATACGTTTAGATTTTTAAGTGATAAAAGTGTCGAGACAATGTGAAGTGTAGATATAATGATTAGAAAATAAATTCTATGTATATGTTCCAAGTACACTCCAGAGATAGTAATCATCGTACACTCGTAAATGCCGAGCTGTCTACGCAAGATATACAAGTTCTCCAAACTGACAAGAATAGCAGAGAATTAATTTATGAAATAGGAAATATTTTTACTATTTCAAGACGCACGTGTATAAGTGCACGCCGTTAACGTGTGTCCATTGTCAGCATTTTCGACCTTGCGGCACGCGAGAATGTGCACGGGGAACAATCGAGACGGTCAAGGAGAACTTACTGAATAATAATCAGCTGCGCGAGAGAGAAAATGATTGCGCTGCCTATGAATGAAAAGAGGGAAGCCATGAATTTCTGATTACCGTGCACTTTGTACTGTTTCGGAGCGGAGATCACAAATAATAATGGGTCGTCCGTAGACAAGAAAAAATCTTTACCATAATCGTATCGTCACTTCCTGGATTTTTGTGACGAAATCGTAACGATCGTGGAACAGGGTCTCCATCAGAAAGAAAAAAGAGATTACATCCTTAGAGAGACAATCATGTTAAACGAGATGTTTTTTAATCACTATGCCCGAATGTCCGGTGTCTCAAAAATATTGTACGAACTTTGTGAAAATTAATGGATGCCGGAAGAAATCTCGCAGGAGTGATAATATTGATAAAAGTATCATTTGTAAAAATATCGCGACAGATGCATTGCGCGCCGGATATTTTCTCTCTTTTCAAAAATTCAGAAAATTCTTGGGTGGATGCTCTCTCTCCGCGAGCTTATTGATATCAGGTGCGCGAGGATTTAGAGCGTAATCATCGCGCGCCTCTTACGAGGTTATTATTGCTTTAAAGATGGATCCATTATATCGAGGCGAGTCGGCTCGACGCGGCCGAGCGAAAGTGCCTCGGCCGCATAAATGTCGGGCCGACTCGGCCGGGGATCGACCGAGAAGGTGGCTTAACGAATGTGGAGAGATCGGTGAACCGGAAGCGAAAGGCGCGCGCAGCTTCACGATTCGTTTGGTATGACGTATAACATAAGATCGTCAGTCTCCCAGCCTTTAACGCTTCGCGGAACTAGAAATCTGTTTTTCACGCTCGAATCGCGTGAGCTTTGTTCACGCATCTTTATATTGTCATGCGTGCGAATGAGAATTTCCTTTTTTTTTTTTTTAAATCGCATGCCAGATAGAGTTTTATCCTGGAATACTAGTAGGAATACTAGTAGACGAACTGTGAAAAATCGTCCGACAAACATAAAACGTAACGCTAATTATGCCAACGAATGAATGATCTAATGATAATTAATATACAATATAATAAAGTAGTTAAATCTAATTTCGAAGATAAGGTATTTTCTCACGTAATTTTTTTTTTGGTTGCAACAATCATATTTCTTTTTTCCGTGAGATCCTGATGAACTGAATTGGATCGATCTTTTTGTTTTAATGTAACATTTTTATCGCGTTCACATTCATCGTGAGAAATAGCTGTTTCCACGTGTGTCGATTAAAAAGGTAATTACTACGTTACGCTTGCGATGCAACGCGACCTTCGGTACTGTCGACGAGCCGGACACGGATGTTCCTAGGCGCGTCCGCACCGAGATTGCTGCTCTGACGCGCTCTTTCGCGCTCGTAATTTTACGACGAGATCGTTCCGGGACAGATCTTTGTTTTTTTTACGGGGATAATCCCCCGGCGTTTGAAAATTGGAAACGCGATATAAATGGAACGTGACCTCTAATAACTCGGAGATACCCGGGATGCTATGGAAAATTGACATCAGAAACGGCGCTCACGTGCGCTCTTATTAGATGCAGCGCGATTCACGTGGCGTAACACGTGAACAGGTAGCTCCGCGACGGGAATTTCTACCGAGGGTGGCTTCACGGGGGTGGCACGACTAGGTGGGGATCGTTAAATGCGAAGTAAACGCGTGAAAGGGGTGAGAGAGGCGGTTTGCCTTCCTTAGCTTTTAGTCACAATTTAGAAATAATTGCGCAATTATTACGGTGCGAAATATTACAAAGTAAAAATCTTAAACATGCCATATTGACCTAAACTTTTTGAAACGAACCTTACACGACGTTATTACTGTCACAATATATCTATTGTTGTCAGTGACCGAGTGCAAGGGTCAGTTAGATTTTTAGAGACTAGTTTAATCGATCGACTTTTTGATCGGCTTTAAACTGAGGCAAGTTTCCTCTCGCGATCACAAACAAGCACTCTGACAAATTCTCTGTAAGATCTAAAAATTAAATAGATCCCTAATCTTCTATTCGAGTATGTCGAGAATTGCGACAAGTTGTGCAAAGGCGAATTGTTGGGCGAGTCGCGATACAGCGACGACAATAGAAGCGATGAGAGAATTACCTCATGCGTGGCGGAGGCGGACGGACTATGGGGAATCGCCAGATCAATTTATATTTTAATCGTCCCGCCCGCACGGGAGAGGCGAGGGAGGCTTTTATCTGTCGCATGGCAGACGATGGCCCATCCGACCCATCTGCCTCAATCATCGATCGGAGAAGAAACAAATGCGGCACCACGCACGACAGAGTCGTAGTCAGCCTACCCCGATCTCCGGGTCTAAGCATCAACGTCTACCGGGATACGATCGTCGCTCGACCGGAAAATACAAAGGGATATGCGCGCGACGTCCATAGGTAGCTCGGCGTTGCTGCAGTTGAAGGATCGGTTATGGGCGAACAGAAGAATGCTCGTTAACCTAACGGTTGAGACAGCTCGTAATAAACACCGTGTACTTAACGCTAAATTCGATGGAACTGATAGAACAGAATCTTCTAGCAAAATGAATGAAGATCACGCGATTATATTCAATGAAAGATAACAGTCGTAGTTCTACGTCAATAAATGGATTCTGAATCTCTGATTCAATTGATTTTAATGTCACGAAAATTTCATATCATCTTTCTCTCGAGTTTTGATATTAAATATCTTGCCAATTAATCGTCAAATTAAAATTCTATTTACAGGAGTAAATTAATTCAGAGCCTATCTGTGTAAGTTTCGAATGGATCGAAAGTCTCATTGGAAATCAATACGTGCAAATTTGTGGGCACCCTGTATTATATACTCGATATTTATCACTGACTACTGAATGCGTGTATATACATACGATGCTTATCTATGAACGGTCGGCGCTGGGGCGCGCGCGATGCAAATGCAATGTCAGGTGAAAAGAATAAGAAGTTAGAAGCGGGAGAAATTCCGGAGACGCGGGCGATGTATGCACGAACGAACGTACGAGTACGTTGACCTGAAATGACCTGACCTGCGACAACTCAACGTGTCCGATGATAAACTACCATGTGTCAAAGTAATCTCATGCGTGGATTATCGATACATCGATATATATATAGAAACGTTATGCAATGACTACGTTGCATCGCTTTTACATTAATGAAAGTATGCAAGCAATCTGATAACGTCTACTTCTGTTACTATACTATTACTACATATAATCCAAGAGCTTTAAAATATCGTTTCTAAAAATAGTACAACATATATAAAAATAGTATGTTAAAGTATTTCACAATTTGAAAGATATATTGTTGCGTCCACCGCGCGATTATAATTTTAAACGAGCACTATTCGCGTCGAAGGGAAAAACAAACCCTTATTTTGGGTACGTTTACCGTTCACCTGTATTCATTTGTCGGCGTGGAAATTAACGGCGCAGTGCTCTTTCCAGAAATACTCGAGTGGGGTTGTGGGCGAACACGTGACTGGGAAACGTGCCTGCCGATGCACGTGGACCCGGGCACATCCCCCGACATTGGCCGCCGACGCGCCTCGTGCCCTCAACCCTCTTTCGTTTCGAGGTGGAGGAGAAGCTTCCGCTCGTCTCAGTCATCACCCGAGTCTCTTCGGGTTGCGTGCGTACGAAATTGCATCGACGATCTTCGCGACGACGCGCCGCGAGTCTCTCCTCTCCGCGGACTAAAACGACCGGATGCATCCGTGCGCGTAAATCTGCCGATCGTATCGAGAGACGCACCACGTCTTCGACATTACGGTGCATCTACCTGCAATTCTTTTTTTCGAGGTCGCGATTGCGATCGCACTGATTCGGGCCGTGACGCGAGAGTGACAATCGATAGATTCAGGCACTTTGAGGAAGCTGACCGAATTCGTGCAGCAACGCGACGAGTTTAATCCACGGTTGTGGATCGTAAAACGCGAGATCGATCGTAGCGGAAGCTTCTCTTTTCGTGGAGATAATCGACAATCACGGTGGAGCGTAACTCTTGTTCCCTCGTCATCATGATTTTCCTCATTTTACGCTGCACTCGCCCGTAATACATTCGCCGTCTTAATCGCGCAATAGCATAAAAGAAAATAAATGTCTACATTTCCTCATCTTGACAAGATGTGGAGTTTCGCTTATTTTTTACGTGACGTGAAATGTATGCGAAATGTTAATGCAAGACTCATATAGTTTCGCGTGATATAGTGTTACGGTGTTCTTGACAGCTAACACTTATAATTTCCATAGACTTGACTAACGTAAAAGAAATCAAAGATATGTATATTTGATATGTTTTATCTCGCTTGCTTTCATCGCTATGATGTAACTACTACCATATTTAAGAAAGAGATTAGCGATTGGCGTGTCATTAAATACTTTCACACTTTCGCTTTATATGCTTCGAGTGACATAATCAATTTAGAAAAAATTCCGAATTATATTATTTACATATTATTTATATAATAAATGTGAGCACATGTCATTTAAAAACAAAGGTTTATAATATATTTCCATTGATTATTTTTACTTTGTCTATTTTTGTCTTTTCGAATATTTTTACGAAATTAATGTGTGAAAGGAACAATAAAAAGTTACTGATGGTATAGATTCTATACGAAGAGAAAAACTATGCAAATATAATGTTTTGCTCTCCTTTTCATATATTCAAGTTGACAAAAAGTTTTAGAGGGATTATTATATTCAATTAAACCTATTTATACTCTGCTATTGTTCACGAGGTCGGATGAAATATTACGGAGAGTAAATTTGTATGACTATTTACACGAAAGAGTACTTTCAATCCGTTAAATTCTGTGTATCGTCTGCAGGATTTGTAGACAATTCAATGGCAATCTGCGAAATGCGAAAAACTGGACAAAACAAATATGATGCTAATTTGTGTAAAATTTAGAAAATTATAAATATATCGTGACAAACGATTGGAACGACAAAAGCAAATCGTTATTAAATCATCAACGAATTATTTCGCAATGCAAGCTCACTGAAAATTAATATTAACTTTGCAATATCAATTGCAAAACGGAATAAATAAATAACAATTAAAGGTAAATATACTTTACTTAATCAATAAAAAAGTTATTCCATTATGTCGGAAAGTGAGTAAATAAAAAGCGAAATTAATGGAATCAATTTGGTGATCAATTTAGTGGAATTTGACGAAACGATAGCGAATTATTGAACGCAAGTCAAAGTCTGGCATGATGTCGATTCTGCTTTGAATAGCGAGTGATTGTGCGAAAACTATTCAGACCTAATATACCATACAGCACATCCGATAAGAAAAAAAGGTGCTATCGAATCCAGAATGGATTCCTGCGGCGGCTGGACGCGAATGGGGAACGAGGATGGTGAGGGGATGGCCGGTGCAGACGCGACCGCCTCTTGGCAGCAATGTTACACTTGGTGCACGCCGTACTCGCATCCGCACCCCCACCATCACCACCTGCATCATCCCCGTCAGTATCAGGGTAGCCAGTATCAGCAGCTACCGGGAAGCGCCTCCGCTACGACAAATGCTTCCACCCACTACCCATCCTCCCAGCAGCATCATCTGCAGCTGCAAAACACCCAGCCGCCGCCTCTGGACCAACAGCAGCACCTTCACCCTATTAGAGCACAGGGCGGGCTCAGGAGAGCCGTTCCTTATGACGGACCAGGTATCCAATTCGCGTGCAACGCATTAATTTTGATAATATCGATCCATTTCGTAATAAAAAAAAAAACGAGGCAATTTTATACAAATTAATATGTAAAACTCAACGATTTACTGTTAATTATACTTAAGACAAACATTTCTTCTGCTAAATGCTAAGTTACAGTCTTGTTATGAGACAACGATTTGATACTGAGACGCGGAACTTGATTACATTTTTACGAAAATTTTCTTCGTTCTTCTCTTCTTCTCCTGGGTATTCCAAATCCCTCTCCTCCGGGGAGAATTTCCGAAATTATGTAAGTACTCCGGTTTGATCGTCACGCGATACGTCAATCACTAAATGGATCGATCTTATCGAAAGGATTAATATACCTCTATCGGTTTCGAGGTGGCCTGCTCCACGCATATCCTAAATATCATCTCGATTATAATATCATCCTCTTATAGACTTCTTATAGACTTCTTATAGACTCTATAGATTTCGATGCTATACCCAAGAGGTTCGCGTTTCTTCGTTGCGAGTTTTATGATACCGTCTTTTATCGATAATACGAAGAATGAAGGCAAAGAAAGATTCTATGGTTTATACTGCCACAATGAAAGAGACTTAATCGAAAATAATATTTACTCGTCGCTACTACAGGCATCTCGCGCACTTGCACCCTTACGCTGACTTCCTATCGATGGTGTTACTCAAGATGATCCAATTTTCTAAAGACGATAGTAGCGATTATAATAATGAAAGCCTTATAGCTGCGAGCGGGAAAAACGTATCGCGCGACATAAGACGTGCATGTGTGAATTTTACCGATTAACTTCTACAATAAACGCATAAAAAAAGAGCAATATTTATGTAGGACTATTTATGCAGTTGCACGAATTATACTTCGCAACAATAAGATAGTTTTGTTGCTTATAAAATAGTAAAAAGATATTAAGATGGAAAAAGATCCAATTTCGTGTGACCTCTGTAAATCCTTTACGTCTTCGTTAATAAATCGTAAATGACAAATTCGCGAATTAGACGTTTCCGTCGCCGCATGACAGCGGCGTCGGAATGGCGAACATGCCGAACCAATTTTTCCGGACACACGTTTGCGTAATGCGTTTCACGACGAAAGGGATTTACCACTCCACGAAAGCTCTCGCAAAAAGGCAAGGAGGAAGAGAAGTTGCCCACGCAACCATCGGTAAATAGTCCACTGAATTATTCATGGGAATCTGTTGCTTCCATCTAAACGGCTGTACCGCCTCGCGATGCGGATTTGTTTAACCAAAAGATGTATTAGAGAAATAAATTGACTTATTGAGATACAGACTCAGTGAAGTAGATATTTTCAAAGCCTATATTGTTCCTTTTTCACTTATTAATTTTGTGTCCAACTATCAAACGTACATTTATGAAATGATTATGTGTAGCAGTACAAATATTTAGTTGTTTTAATTAAATTTTTAGCTTCAAATATCTCAACGCTTGTAACATAAATTGTGAGAAATAGGAAATTAATAAATTATAATGCCAAGTTTAATATGATTAACAGAATAGAATCTTAGCTGTGAATAACAGCATTATAATGTGATTCTTTGTAGAGATGACGCATTCCAGTGACATCATAAAAATTGCACATACACTCACATACATTGTAATTATACTCCTTTGTTAGTATTTTCCGTCATGCAGCGTGCTCACACTTTTCGTACTTATTGTTAGGTGAACGTATTATTTATTCATGACACTCTCATATAAATATTTATTAATCCATTTACCGCCTACCTAATGAAACATAAACTTCTTTCGTGTCTTTTACGATGTGTTTAATCTATTTGATTCAGGAGCGGATAAGTACTTGTCGCGGCCTGAAGCTAATAATTCATAAAATCTCCAATACGGAGATGTTCTAAAAATGTATACAATTTACAAAAAGTGTTTACACGTATACAAAAAGAATTGAAAATTTTAAATAAAATTATTCTACGCTACCTCTTGGATAATTGAGACAATCGAGTTTTGTTAATTTAAGTTATATTTTATTACCGTATAGATACTCATATATTACTGCTTCTATACGGTCTTTCGAATTTATTTGTTTTCAAATCCAATCACATAAGAATTGTATTATTTGCCCGAGTTTATCTCCGGAGAAAATTTTCTAGAATGTATGTATGTATCGAGACGACGACCGTGTTTATCCGAGAAAAGCTACTGCAAATGGAAATAGCCGTTACGGGTACAATAACATTGTGGCATTATTTTCTCGCTCATGAAAATTCGAGGTAATCCCGATATCGAAATAAACAGCAACGTCCATCACGCGGAGCGACGTAACACGGAAACTGTATCTAATCGCGCGCGATTTCCATGGACAGGGATTCTTTTCGCCATGTCGTTCTTTCGCACATACTTTTATATTACTCCGTTATTCAAATCGCGCCTTGTCCGATCGGTTTTGAGATGCACGAGAGAATAACCCTATCTTTCACAATCGCGATCAACGTCATCGTAAAATTTCTTCCGGTTGTGTATTACGTTTTGCTTTACACTTTCACGTACACATACGCTCTCTCAAAAAATGAAAATTAAATACGAATTTATCGACTTAATTGATGCATATATACAGTATACAATTTATAGAATTTATTAAATCTAATGGGACGTAAAAAACATTAGACCATATATTCTATTTTTATGAAGTTATAAATCATGTATAGAATAATGAATAAAAGACTAGTGCATGATTAGATCTATACCAATTCCAAAATCTTAAAATTGTATTTTTGTTTTATTTTCTCAGTAATTTTAGATTTGTAAATTCTCGCCTTTAATCCTTTAATATTAAGAATCAGATGCGTTTAAAAGTAAATGATTAATGATGAATAGCTAACGACGGTCACCGTCAAGAAAGTAAACGGAATGAAAATGCTACTGCACGAGGAGCTCGCAATGCGCGATGAATTATATGGTGATCGCTTGATTACCGAGACGACATTGGAGGAGACGCGGTAACGTAAATCTATCTGCCGTCAGGACGCAATTACGGTAACTTCTCGCACAACGCGGCATCGCGTAAACTGCGCGTATGAGCGTATGACTTATTATTGTTTCTCCGCTGTCATATACTTTGTACGTAGGCACAACGAGTACGTGGTACAGGGATCGGGCGGACACCTACGTGACAAGTACCGAGGAAAGGACTTGTTCGTATAAAAGCGCAATATTCTAGTTTACACAATTAATTATCTTACGGCGTGTTAGGCATCCGTACTTTCATACACTACAGATTTTTCAGAGTCGAGAGAATCGATAAGTCAATGAGATTCAGCCGATGTATATATATACATGCGCAAGAGAAGTGCAACGTTTTCATCTCTAAAAGAAGCGTTAGTTTACAAAGCGCGTCTAATTGTTGGTAATAGAAATATTTAAAGCAAAACATATGACAAGTTTTGATGTAGAAACGAAAAGAAATTTAGGAAGGAAAAGATTACAAACGTTGAAAAAAGCTCCGATGTGGGATATGTGTATCAAAATATCAAAATGCATTCAATTCGTACATAACCCATGATAAATAACTAAAAGCTATTCTCGAACATTATAATTAAAGTTAATGAAGATTTAACAGATTCTCTGCCCCCTAATCCTTTGTCTTAAAAGAGATGAATCTCAATTTAAAAAATCTTGCCTCCAACAACAAACGAAACGTATTCGCGAGAATATATGCTTCTGGATTACTTTTAATAACCGGTATAAAAAACAATAAAAAAGATCATTATCACCGTAATTATAACTTTCTTCCTGCGAACACTAATCAGAACGGAATTACTTGCGGATTGCTGGTTAGATTCTTAATAAGCGCAATTTCGTCGTTTTTTTTTCTCATCCATAAGTATGCATCGATGAAAAATCGCAGATTTTCTGTCGTGGTCATTGTGGCCGTTTCTATCTTGTTATATGGAAAAAGATCGAATCGAAGGTTCGCGGAAAAGAGGCGGACTAAGAGAGACGAACGAGACGACGAGGGGCGTAACGACGTCGCGAGAAATGGTGGAAGCGGCGGGGGTAGAAGAGTCAGGAGGCTAAAACGGAGGAGGAGAAGGAAAGCGATTACTATATGACGACTTGCGTATCCTGCGCCAGCTAGCTCGGTTAGAAATAAACAGCGGCCGCTGGTTATCCTGAAACGTTGCATTATCTGTTGCAGCGAGATGGAACGTCTTGGACAACGTCCTTGAGCGCGGAAACGCACCTTAGATAGCGCGGTGATACCATAGGCGAACGGAAAAATCAACGAGCTAAACAAAGATCACGCTTGTGCTATCGTTTAATTTTGTTCAGCATTATTTAGTGCGAATTGTTCTCAATTTACTTTACAAAAATCTAACATCGTATGTCCAGTATTATTTTTCAAAATTTAATTTCTGATTGTAATTTAGTGAGAAAGGAAACGCAATATTTCCTAATAGACAGTTCGCTTATGCTTATATGTATTATTTAATTATATTAAAAACATAAAATTATATATATCTATATGAAAGATTATACGTGACAAGCCCCATAATATCGTACAAGATTTTAATAGCGTATTCTGAAGATTAATTAGAGTCGGAAATCGAGATCAAAAGTTTCTGAATTATAAGCCATCAAAGTAGTATTAGTGCGTATGCATATATAACGCGTATATACTGCGATAGATTAAGATAAAATTAGCGCGTTATAAGATATAATCAGTAATCACATTAGCACACGTTTTATTAAATAACTTACTAGCTACGCTATATAACTGTAAAATATTTCCTTTCTTTTATTCATACTTGTGACATAATTAAATTGAAAAACAAATATATTGTTTTCTTGCATCAATTTATACGATTTATATTTAATTCCGGGTAGATATAGCAACAAATTCATGAGATGTTAAATCGTAAGAAAAAAATAAGAAAGTAAGTAAAAGTAAAGAATAAGTATCTCACCCTACGGTTGCTCCGCTGTCACTCGATGCCTTCCAAATCTCCTCCTCCTCCTCTCATCGTCAGTTCCTTGGTTGCACAACACTCGCGAGATACGGTTAATCGCGAACATATACTAATTACAGACGATCGCGCGTCAATTTTAAACTTCCGACGTTAATTACACGCGATGCCTATATACTCTTTATTGCACTGGGTAACTCGGCATCGCCAAATCCCGTACTTATGTATGCGAGTCTCTATAGGGAGTTTACTTCGACACCGATACGGTGCAACAAATGAAATCGAGTTAAGAGGCGATTAAAATACGATAAACCGTTTGAAAATCGAGACTTATATCCACACGATGTTTTAGGCGAGTGATAAGCAATTTACATTATATACGCGAAATACTCAAAGCTCGCTACACGATGTATAGATATGTATATCGTAATCCAAGTATCATTAGATAAATCATTGTTCATCCGTAAATATCGTAATATAACAATAATAAAAAAAACTGCGAGATACATTCGCCCTAATAATAGCTAGTGCTTCGATATGTTCACAGTATTACAGTTTATTACAGTAATTAATTAATCGCTAAATGTTCATAGAGTATGATTTTGTTTCGAGAAGTAATTCAAGTAATAACGAAATGACTCGGACCACTAGTTGCTCGTTCGAGTGTCAATGCACGAATGATAGCGCCGTGGCCTTGCGTATACATATCGCCGCGTCGTACGTGGCACAAAAAACAAACATCAAGGTCGCGCGCCAGCTGATTACCGTTACGTTTTCAAAATACTTTTCGGGAGAAAATAACTTCTCATAGAATATTCCATTCCTTGCATAAATTAATTATTAACAAATGATCGACACTTGCCGCGGTTTTCCGTTACGTTTGTCGATCGATCTGGCTTTTCCGTCCGCGCTCTGAATCTGAAGCGTTACGAGATCTCTGAACTTAAGTATTGTTAGAAAAATAATGCTATCATCCACAACCATTGCAACGGGACAATGATTTGTAACTCTCTTCTCTTATTATTTTGATTCGTAGATAAATCGTGTAAATCTGCGTCGAGATAAACAGCTATCGTCTCGATTAATCTTACGAATCAGTTGATTACTTGCGCAGACTAACAGTCGTTTAATTGGTAATTAATCATCGAGTTTGGCATTCGAAAAGTAATTGTGATCGCGTTTTGAGGAATAATGCGAAGACGCGCGGAGCCGGCGGCCTAACTGTTCGAGCGTCACCACGCGAATGACGGAGAGGTGTTGCGTACTTGCAACTTATACACGACCGCGACGGTTACGACGATATTACGGCACGCGTACGCCGCCAAAACAAAACAGACGCCGTGAGTCAAATTTATTGTTCAACGTACTAAAA